GTCATTGAACTAATTTCTGAGATTACTATTATCCCTATCATAGTCTTACTCCAAACTACTGAAACAGACATTTCTCCAGACTGCCACCAATATCCACCTTATTAATGAACTTTTTTGCTATGTTGAATACCATGCTAAAGATAGTAAATAAAAATATATTATTTATTCTAAACCCCAGAGTCAGTTTGTTTTATTCCAAAGTTTCCAATAAAATAATTATCCTACCACCTATCCACACTTGGATTTACCAAGCTTCGCTTAGTTTCACATGTAAACACAATTGTGGTGCACTGAGTGAAAATCAAAGTCACTTTAATTGTTATGTTCTGTGAGACTAGCTTGCTAATCATTGTTTCTCCATTAAGGAACCTTGTTTCTTTGATTTATTCTTTTCTTCTTTCATATTCTTTTTCTTTTTTCATTCTCATTCTATTGTCTTTTTCTTCTCTTCTTTCTTTTTATCTTTCTAATATTTCTCTTTTCTTTCTTTCTTTCTTTCTTTTCCTGTTATTTTTTCTTTCTTTAAATGTTCCTTCCTTCTGTCTTTCCTTCCATTTTATCTTCATTTGAAATTTTTACTTTTTCTCAAAGTTTTCTCTTTCATTTTCATGTTCCCTTTTTTTCATCACCCCTATTTCTCCCCAATGACTTGTTCTCTAAACCAGTATTTCCCAACCTGCGGCCACATGGCCAAAATGCCTTGTGGCAAATTTCAGGCAGGCTACAGAAATTTTAAAATTGGATATGTTCTATGTAAAATGAAAGTAAATGTTTACACTATAATAATTTATGGGTGACAGTAAAATTCTGGGTTTAAAATGGGCCATGAGCTAAAAGCTTGGGAACCAATGCTCTAAACTCAGATAGACAAGATTTAACTTGAAATTTTAATCAATGCAAGGGTGCCGAAAAGTTTTTAGCCTAACCAAAGAGGGGTTAAAATATAAACTTGGGTATTTGTATATTTGTTCAGACTTTGGGAAAGGAGTGTGTTAGGTTGAGACCTTCTCAACACCTCAGTCAGATTGTAATATTCCATCCAGTCAACAATTTCTTTCATCACAGTCTTAAAGTCTCCTTTATGAAGAAACTGCACTCATAAATTCACAGAACATGAAAATATTACCTCTCCACACATGATTAAAGTGTAATCACATTTTTCTTCCTTCTTTCATCTTCTAACTAGTGAAGAATATATTTAACTATTCTTTTTTTGTCTGCCATGTTCCACCGACGATCATGGCTCTCCACAACTTCCTACTCTTTATAGCTCTTTGCAATGTTTATCTTTTTACTAACCCTGCCGTTCCCTATTCTGCCATCCATTTAAACAACCTTGTTAGGTAAGTTACTCACTATTTTTCCTTTAACCCTCTTTGCCTTTAATATGTCCTGAGTGTGTCAAATTTTCTGAGACCACTTTCCTCATTATTTGTTTTAGAAATTTCAGTAGTCTCTTTCTGATTCTAAATATGTTTCGTTTTTGTTTCTGTTTTCATTAAAACATCCTCCTTGCCCGCATGCTCCATTCATGATATTCGTAATATTCTTCTGTAAAACCATATCTCTTTTATCTATCTTCATTTTCCTGTCACTTGTAAGACTTAACAAGATATCAGTAATTGCCAGTACAATTTACTCATGACAGACTAGAACTATAAATTATCTGAAATTGTGTCTAAGAAGCCTATTGTTACTGTCCTTCAGTTGACATTATAATTTTTGTTAATTAAATGTTGTCTCTTTATGTCCAATCCTCTGCTTTCTGAATTTATTCATCAAACTTGATTGAATACTGTCTTGCCTGACAAGTTATTTATTCATAGCAAATTTTCTTTTCAGCAGTGACTCCTCTTATAACAACTTTATCAAGTTTATACAAGATTAAATCATGCAGAAGTCTGTATTGGACATCTTCCATGGCTCAGTGGTTTGTAAAATTGTCTCATTAACAAGTTTTCTGGGATCAGGAGTTTGATTCTCACAGGTGCTCTCCTACTATAACCTTGTGCCAAACTCTGCTATGTTTATTAAATAATCATATAAAAAGCCATGTAATTTCCCAATGTTAAAATTTGACAAAAATATCTTTTGTCTTCCTGATCATGTCATGGTTGCTGACAAGTTTGTCTCCCTAATCGGTTTGCTCATGTTGTAAATTCAGTCTCATGAGTGTTTTACTATGATGATCTTTTACTAGACTAAATTCCTCTTGAAAATTATTTCTTCTGGTTGCTTCTTCAAAAATGCTTTACAGGATCAAATCATTCAAAGGTCATAATGAATGCTTACCATGATAAAATAGAAAGTTTTTTTTCTAAACCAATTTGCTATTCAATTCATCTATATTTCTGAGATGAGGTATTATGTACAGTATTTTACATTATTCAGACTATTGTCCTCATCTTTGTCACCATGTTTATCACAATGTTTCAGCCGTTGTATGCTCTGGCCTTTTTCAGGTGGTTGAAAAGTTGAACTGAACCCTTTATTTAAGGACACATGGCACAGTGGATAAAAGCATTAGTTAGATCCTGTAAGAGAACTCAAAGAGTGTGAGTTCAATACCTGGTTAAGACAGTGGAGAACTTTGAGAGGGGAATTAACAGGAGATAACTGACATCCATTAGACATGGCACGTGGAACTAGAACAGTCTACTCCAGTGAGCAAAATAAAGTGTTTAGTTCGACATTCCAGCCACCTGAAGAAGGCCGGAGTGTACAACATCAATATACATGGCAACAAAGATGAGGACGATAGTCCGAATAATATAATAGTGTACAATTTGCTATTCTCAAGATTCAGAGGTGTGCACTTCTCTTTTGATCTTATGACAGACTCACCTATGATTAAAACCTATATTATTTCCTAATATTGCTAGAAATATCTCTGATTTACTTGATTATGTCATGGTGGTTGGCAAGTATGTTTCACCAATCAGTTTGCTAGTGTCGTGAATTCAGTTTTATAAACACTCTTGTGATCTTGTATCTGACTAGCTACTCTTTTTAAATAATCATACACAAAGCAAAATTAATTCCCAAAATGTTATTATTTTATAATTGAGTAGAAATATTTTGGTGTATTGATATACTCAATTGTAATCATTTAAATAGAAGTATAAAGTTGCCATTTTGTTATGTATCTATTCTTATTTTTTATGTGCTATGTCCCTTGAGGAAACAGGTGATAATAACTCTCTACAGTTCCTTGTCTCTTCTAGTTCAAAGGAATATTTGACTCTTTATCATCTCTGTCTATGCTCTGTCATCCATTCAGATACATTACTTGCTGCTTTCCTCTGTTCCTTCTGTTTTCAATATGTCTTCTCTAACCCCTCTTTATTACCTTTCTGAAAAATTTCACCTATCCCTTTTTGATCTTAAGTATGTGTCCTTTTAGCTCCCATTTTCTTCAAAATTTTTTCATTCCTCATACATTCAGTCTATGGTAATTGAATCTTTTACATGTGTCATAAACATATTTATTGTTCTAAGCCACATTGAACCACAGACAAATACTCAAACAGTTCATTTACTTTAGACCAGCATTTCTCAAGCTTTTTACCCTTGCATAGCCCTTAAAATAAATTTCAATGTCTCAAGTAACCCCTGCGCAAAAACAAAATTATATACCATGACTTTCTCATTTTATTTTCATCGTAGTTCATGTGGTAAATATCATAGTATATATTTTTGAATAACTGGTTTAAGGAAAAATTAATACTTCTTTGTCAAATTTTTCAGTAATGCTAAATAAAATCCATACTGTTCATTTATAATACTTCATCAGAGAGAAATAAGTAAATTTAAGTACAGGTCCCATTCGCTGAGTTGGCACTGACTAGTGAAGATGGTTTCACACTGGCACCATACAGACATCACCAAATATATTCCCAATGATTGTTATATTTTTTAATAACATAATAGGTTAGATAGGATGATGTCTATATTACAATAACCAAGAATATATTGTGTGTGTTTAGTAATATTCCATATATGAAATTAAATAAAAAAGTAAAAAGTGCATTAGCTTATCTCACCTGTTCTTGCTGAACCCTTGGGGACCTTTTGCAGACCCTTAGGATTCCAGGAAACTCCACTTGAGAAATGCTGTTCTAAACTAACCCTTATATATTTTCTATTCTTTTACTTGATAAGTTGATGCATATAACTTGATCTATGTTAATCAAATGTTAATTTTCTTTTATTTAAATCTATATTGTGTGCATTCATATATCAATCATGATTATATATAGACACTTCTATCTTTGCCAACCAAAATTTCGGTTTCTGTCTATATTTCTGAGATGAGGTATTATGTACAGTATTTACATTAGTCGGACTATTGTCCTCATCTTTGTCGCCATATTTGTCACAACGTTTCGGCCGTTGTATGCTCCGGCCTTCTTCAGGTAGTTGGAATTTCGAACTGAACCCTTTATTTCGATCACTGGGGTAGACTGTTCTAGTTCCACGTGCCATATTTGATGGATGTCAGTTATCAGTTATCTCCTGCTAATTTTTCCCTCTGAAAGTTCTCCACTGCCTTAACCAGGTATTGAACTCACCTTCTTTGGGTCTGTCACTGGATCTAACCAACGCCTTTATCTACTGTGCCATATGTCCTTGAGGACACATCAAACATGGCACGTGGAACTAGAACAGTCTACCCCAGTGATCAAAATAAAGGGTTCAGTTCGAAATTCCAACCACCTGAAGAAGGCCGGAGCGTACAACGACTGAAACGTTGTGACAAATATGGTGACAAAGATGAGGACAATAGTCTGACTAAAATTTCGGTTATATGCAAATTTTCAGTAGTGATTCCTTTTTTGCTTATTTTCTTACAATATAAAAACTGTTAACTCCTGCATTCAACCATATATTTCCAATTCCATGTTTCATTCTGTTCTTTTCAAATGATTTTTTTTCTTTTCATATTTCTTCTCTTTTTCTTCTTTATTCTTCATAATATTTTTCCTCTTTATTTTTGACTTATGGCCACATCCTGTTGAAACACCAGTTCTTATACAATCACTGAAGTTAAGCAATGTTGAGACTAGTCAGTACCTATATGGGTGATCGTTTGGGAATACCAGGTGCTATGAGTTTAGATGTGTGGGTGGTGTAATGGATAATGACTCTGAATTGTTAAATGGAGAGCTGAGTTCTTGTTCGGTTTGTTATATTCACTTAAATGCAAATGACCTTGACAAAAGTATAAATCCACTTCTTTCCCACAAGCTATGGATTAATTAGTTGGACTTTTATCATTAATCATTATTGTCTCCAAAACAAAAAGAATTTGTACAATCTAAAATATAACATTTTCTGGCTTTAAATAACCTGTAAAGGGTCGATAAGCCATAAAAAATGAATGAATCAATCTTTACTTTTGTTTAAATTTTTTTTTTTTTTTCATGACAATTTCTGTCTGAATTTCTGGGATAAACTATTATTTACATTATTTACCATTGCACTAATATCTTCACCTTTGTTGTTACTATAACAACGTTTCATTCACCTGCCATCTTTCTTTAGGTACTTGTTGATCCAAATAATCTTCAGAGAATTTTATACTGAACCCTTTATTCAGTCTACAGGTGTAGACAAGTCCTCTAAGTTCTTAGTTCTCTAAGACAAGATATTCCTAACCCACCCTGCCTCCCATCAGGATGGCTGAGGCCCAACTCCATGAGAGTGCCTCTCTGCACCTGCTTGGTCTCATGTTGTCCACTGACCTGAAGTGGAACAACTACATTCAATCTATAGCTTCATCTACTGCTAGGAAAGTTGGTTCTCTGTGTCGTGCCAAAGCGTTTTTCTTGCGTTAGTCCATCCTTCAAATATACAAATCAACCATTCATCCTTGCATGGAATACTCCTGCCATGTATGGTCTGGTGTTCCTGCTGTTCATTTCGAGGTCCTAGACAAAATTCAGAGACGGATATGCAACATGATTGGTCCTGATCTGGCATCCTGTTTACAGTCACTTTCTCACAGATGTGCTGTGGCTTCCCTCTGTCTTTTCTACAAGTATTTTCATGACAACTGCTTCAACGAGCTACTTTCACTGGTTCCAAAACTGCATGAATTTAAGTGTGCTACTAGGTTGGCATCTCAATCCCACCCTTTCATTGTTGAAATGCCTAAATGTAGCCATCTCTTCAACTCCAACAGCTTCTTATCTTGCACCTCTCATCAGTGGAACTCCCTTCCTATAACTTGCTTCCCTAATAGCTATAATCTTCAAATATTCAAATGTAATGTCAATCAACATCTTCTGATGCCTTGACCTTGATCCCTGTTCTTCTCTTTATCCTTTTCCCAAACATTCCTCTTACTCTAACTTTCTGTAACCCCTTGCATGCTAGTGGCACTCCTGTCTTGCTTGGGGTGATTCACTTAAAAATGAAAAAAAAATATGGAATGAAAACAATCTACCCACATAGATGAAATTAAATGTTCAATTTGAAATTTCCTGAGGATTACTCAAATTGACAGGCTGGAGGGCATAATGGCTGAAACATTGTGATAGTAACAAAAATGATGAGGACATTAGTCTGACTGTAAATAATTTCCTTCTTTCACATTCAGACCTTTTTCTTTTTCCCATTCTTTGCCATCACACTTTTCTTTATTGCAGTATCTGTTTCAATTTACTCTCTTACTTCCATTTTTATCTCTTGAGTATACGTTCATCTTTTTTTTTTCCAGTTCATACATCCAGATTATCTTCTGGGTCTTTGTCCTTTCACTAACAAATCAGTATTGACATTCAGATACAAACTCACATTGACACATTCCCAATATATGAGCTGGCCAGGTAACATTACTGTCATCACTGTGGGACAATCATTTGTGATTGATTCCAAGACAATGGCACACCTGGCACCAAGCTGTTTCCTTAATTCAGCTCAATGTGTCTCATACTGATTCATTCTTTAATTTCACTTTGTTTTAAACTCACTTTCACGTTACACTCTCATATGTCTTCTTTTTTTTTTCTTTTTTTTCTTATTCCCTGGATTTTGATCTTTTTCTTACACTTTCTCTGTCAAATTTTATTTTTCAGACATTTTGCTCTCTCCAGATTTCTTTCCCATTCTTTTCTTCTCACAATCTCTTCCTCTTTTTCTCACTTTCTTTATCTTTAACACTTGTTCCATAGTACTCATTCATTTTCTCTTTTATTTTTCTCCTCTGTTTTTCATTTTTTCCCTGCACTCACTTTCCCACTCTTTTGTTGATTCTCTTTTCTTTTCTCCTTCTTTTTGTATCAGTATTATTGCAATTCCTGTTTTTTTTCTTTTTCTCAGACTCTTTGCATCTTTCCCTTCTTCCTACTCTTAGAATATTGCTGCCACATATTGGTCCATTGCCCCTACTCCTTGATAAAATCCAAAGAAGAATCAGCAATATTATCAGTCCTGATCTGGCAGCTTGCCTTCAGTCATTTTCCCACCACCATAAGGTTGCCTCTCTGTGCCTTTTCTATAAATATTTTCATTGTAATTGTTTGAATGAGATCTTTGCTATGGTATCTAGATTTTTTAATTTAAGCACAATACTAGACTGGCATCAAGATCTCATCAATTTACAGTAGTCGGTTATATGTAACCATAAATTTCTATGCTAACCATTTCTTTTCTCACATTTCTTGCTTGTGGAACTCCCTTCTGGCTCCATGCTTTCCAGTAAACTTTAATCTGCAAAAATTTAAATGCAATGTCAATTACTACCTACTATCCTAATGATTATTATTTTCGTTTCTGTAAACTGTTAGCATAGAAATTGTAAAATTTTTTCTTCTCTAAATTGTTAGCATAGAACTTACATTCACATCTAGCCATTTCAACTGTAAAATGATGAGACCTTGCCGCCAATCTAGTACTGCAATTAAATTCATAAAGTCTAGGTACTATAGAGGAAAGTTCATCAGAACAATTACTATGAAAGTATTTAAAGAAAAGACACAGGGAAGGTATATTATAGCGATGGGAAAGTGATTAAAACTGAGATGTCAGGTCAGGACAAGTACCATTGATGATTCTTCTTTGGATTTTATCAAGAATCTCTAAATATATAGCAAGTGTTCCAGACCATGTGTGACATCAATATTCACTCATTAATGTTTCTGTTTCTAATTCTTCCATACCCAGTAACCCCTTGTTTCTTAGTGGCTTTACTACCTTGAATGGTATGCCAATTAAAAAAAAAATCTCATTTTTAATTCATTTTTTTTTAACATTATTACCCTTCCTATTTTTTCCTTCTTTTTATTTTGTTTTCTTTCTTCTAATTTGTTCTTTCATTTCATACTTGCTCTTCACTTTCTCTTCTGTTACTATTCTATTTTTATTAACGTTCTTGACATTTTATTTTACATTTTTCTTTTTCTTTACAATCACAACTTATCTCTCTCATTCTCATTTTCTGTTTTTTTCAATTCATTAGCATTGCATTTTTCTCCTGTTTTTGTCCCTGTTTTTCTTCTTTCACTTACTTCTCTCTCTCTCTCTCACACTCTCTTACACCCTTCTTTGCTCAATATCAATCTTTCATCCACTTTCTTTTTTTTCAGTTTCGTTTTTTTCTTCATTTTACTTCTCTTCCAATCCCATTTTATTGTTTTCTTCCTTTTTTCATTTTTCAGTTCTTTTGTTTTCTATTTGCCATTTCTCTTTTTTTAATACTGACCTTGCCATCGGCACATATTCCAGTGCAGTGATTAACAGGTATATCTTCAAGACTATTAAGTAACTAGCATAAGTTTAATTCTCTTTAATTGCTCCCTATAACATGGCCTTATGTTAGACTAAACTTCAGAAATAACTACATGAATACCGTCTACATAGCTATAATTAGTTAGCTTGTTTCATAGACAATTTTCTTGTGATATGAGTTTAATTCTCTCTGCATGCCCTTAAATTGTGTTCTTGTGCCAAGTAAAGCTTTATAGATATTAACATCTTTTTTTTTCATCATTTCACCCTAAGCAAGGCAATAAAACCACTAAGACGCAAGAGGTTACTAGGTGTTAGAGAATATAAGAAAAACTACTATTAAGTAGAGAGAACAATAAAAGAACAAGAATTGAGAAAGAAAATAACAATTGACATTGCATTTAAATTTTTGAAGATAAAAGTGGACTCGGAAGCAAGAAGGTGAAAGAAAGTTCCACAAGTGAGAAGTGTGATAAAAGAAACAGCATAGAAGTTAAATTTACATCGAACCATTTCAACTGTAAAATGATGAGACCTTGCTGCCAATCTAGTACTGCATTGAAATTTATAAAGTCTAGGTACTATAGAGGAAAGTTCATCAGAACAATTACTACATAAGTATTTATAGAAAAGGCACAGTAAAGCTATGTTACGGTGATGGGCAAGTGACTAAAACTGAGACGCCTGGTCAGGACCAATATGATTGCAGATTCTTTTTTGGATTTTATCACGAATCTCTAAATATATAGCAGGTGTTCCAGACCATATGTGGCATCAATATTCAAAGAATGGTAGACTTAGAAATATGTAAGATAGATTCTGGCAAGAAAAACTGTCTAGCATAACATAGTGAACAAACTTTTCTAGCATTAGACTCTGTGTACCTTGGCCTTGTGACAAACTTGCAAGATGTACCAGTATATAGGACATGCCATAAATCCACTTTGAAATATACTGAAAAACTAGAATGGCAGAGAAATTTCTCAAGACTAGACAAGATCTCACTGGGAGAGATCTCAACCTAAAACTTGACCTTCACTATGAGTGATTTTGATAGATTTTAAAAAGAAAAGAACTGTGTCATGTCTTATATGCAGTAATGTACAGTTTGTGCTTCTGAATCTTTCAAAATATATATTTTCTTAATAGATGCCGTAAAATATATTTAAATTTAAATATGGTAAATTTATCATTGTTTTATAAACAATAATAAAATGTGAAAATTTTAGTTGTGAAAATAAACTAGATTACAAAACCAAAATCCAAAGATTCTTTCTTTATTGATTCTTTGATTTCTTGTTTTTTAGTTTTTCTTTGGATTTGAAACTGAGAAATCAAATGCATAGAATTTTCTGAATGGATTCTTGGGAACACAAT